TTTTGCAGCTAGCCTCAGGGCTGGCCATGGACAGGGGCTGCTGGACTGGGCATGAGCTGGGACTGAGCAAGCCTGGCTCAGTCCCAGCTCATGCTGGCCAGGGACCACTGGCCGGGCGGCTCTTACTACATTTAAAATGCAGAACCTCAGTGGTCCTGACTATGTCCCAGCTTGTGGTGATCTGGGACCTACTCCCTCTGCGGCTCTGCAGTTTAAATGTAGTAGGAGCTAGGCTGCTGGCATGCCTAGCTCCTACTATATTTAAACTGCAAACCTGCAGCAGGGGTAGCTCCTGGACCTGCACAAGCCGATTCAGAGCACCTTCCTTATTGACAAATTGTATCGACTACACAATTAGTCAGTTACTCGCCTCTTAACATCCTTATCCTGAACAGTGATGTTACACAAGATTTTAACCCAAATTGCATTTCTCCCTAACACAATTTCAGAAATTGAAATGGATGATAAAATTTAGGACTCTGCCATAGAGAAGCGACTGAAGATATAATATCCCTGACATTTCAAAAGTAAACAAGCAACAGTACTCCCAACAAACCTATTATTCGGGGAAAACATCTGAAGTAAGGATGTTAAATATCAATTAATTTACTAGTCGAGTAGCCATGGTGTTTCAAAGCCATGTGCGGCACTGCCGCTTTGAAGTATCCCTTCTCCTCACACTTTGCTGCCTCTATCTGATAGAGGCAGCAAGGGGGCAGGGGATATGACTAGTCAACTCTCCTTAACACCCTTTATCTATTACTGGAAGACTTAACCAGTATTGCCCGGGTCCTTCAGGGCTGGGAGGTGACAGGGTGGGAGGTGCAGAAGTCAGAGTGGGAGGAGTGAGGAAGAGCTAAGGCCAGGGCATCCCATTTGGCGCGTTTTCTCTCCCCCTGCAGGCCCTCTGTCTGGCAGGGGCAGTTTCTCCCCACAGTGAGTGAGTGAGTTTGTTTATTCAAAAACTCCTTCTTAATGGTAAGAGCTAAATTTGGTATGCAGCCTCCTCTTATCATAACTTAAAGCAAGTTAGGGATTTGGTTGTGCCAGGACTATGGCATGTACCTGGAATGTGCCTGTTTCTTATAACATGGAAAGGGAGGGTTCTCTTCACAGGTACATTTATATTATATAATGACAGAGGGGTATAGGAAGGGGCAAGAGATGGGGACCGGGACAGCTATAACCCCACTGGGCTAATAGGGGATAGGAGTGGAAAAAGGGACAGATATCTACCATATATTTGAGAGAGTTTGTCTGTATCTGTTTCTGTGTCCCTCAGCCAGGGGACATGCACCCATTCCCCAGCTGTGTCCACTGTAATTGTAGCAACCATGGACAGGAGATTCTCACCTGGCCCCAAGATGCTGCAGTGAGAGAGGGCTGGGGTAGTCTTTTCTCCGTGAGTCAGCCTGCATGATGAACCTCTCATCTCCAGCCCACCCGAGCCTCCCACCTCCCAGGCACCCTTCAGGAAGGGCATTGGGAAGACTGAAGCTCATCCTCTAATTCATTCATGGCTGGTTATTCCCCTTTTGGGACAGTGCACAATTTGCTGCATTTCTAAATCGAGCTGGGGAGCACAGGGGGCAGACATACCTGAAGCTGCCCCAGCCGGGAGACAATACCCCTCACCTGACTGTGCCCACTGCAGCGGCCACGGAGAGGCACTTCTCACCTGGCCCCAAGCTGCTGTGGTGAGAGAGGCTAAAGTGTGATTATGGGTGATGGGAGGGAATTACTGTTACCACTTCTCCTAGTGCCTGGGAGAATAAATGCCTAACATCAGAAGATGAAGGCAAAATCTAGGAAATACCAAATTCAATCTGAAATGTTTTAAATTAACAAGACAAAGTTGAGATTTTGTTTCTAAAGCCAAATCAAAACTGAGTCAGAAGGAAAAGTCTGTAAGACTCACACTTGTCATTAGTTGATTTCAATGGACATGCACAGCAATTACCATGCAGATCCAGCAGAAAAAGTAACCCAAGGACTTTAACAGTACTAATTGAGGCATAGGATTCTAATAGACATCTGAATGTTAGAAGTTTAAAAATAATAATAAACTAGAACACAAACCTGATATATAACTCGTATGCTTGTTCTTTTTATCTGATTCAACGAGGGTTCGATGTAACTTCCTGCCCACTCCTTTTTCAAACTCCTTGGCAATTCTTTCAGTATTTCTATAGTATTGAAAAAACTTTATTAAAAATCCTTTAGCAGTAACTTTTATAGTATTTAATTAAAGTACTTTTTGCATAGTAACAACATTTAGTACAACTTTATTGTGTAGCTCATTATGTAATGAGCTAGGAAATGCTTTAGGATAGGAACAGTTCTTTTGTATAGGTTTGTACTGTACCAACTTACCATTATGGCCCAGATCCTTACTGTTGGGGTACTGAGATACTACCACAATACAAGTAATTATTGCTCTATTTCAGTGCCAACACAGTAATTACACTGAGGACTAATGTTGACTCCTTTTAATGTACTGATTAGGGCACCTAATTCCACTGGTCCATGAACCACAATTTTAACTGGCTGATCCAATTAGGTAAAATATAGTCCCTCCTGCAAGTAATTCCATATAAGCAGATCACTGCACTCCAACAGAGCTCCGTTGAAGTGAATAGGGCTGTATGTTTGTATTTAAGGATCCACACAGAAAAAGGAGAATTGTTCCTCTGTCCACTAATGACTGGAAAAAGTACTAAGTACTTGCTGAAGAAATGACTTTTGATTAAGTTGTATTTTCAAAAGGATCTTCTGCTAATGTATTTTATAAAGGAATTAGAACATAAAAAAAGAAAACATTTCTGCCTTTATAATGTGGGTTTCACCCATGAAAGCTTATATCCTGATTAATCTATTATAGTCTCTAAGATTGTTTTTTGCAGACACAGGCTAAAACTACCCCCTGAGACATTTATAATGTAAATAAGCTTCTCTTTTTTCTGAACTAAAGCTAGTGATAGGAAGAGTTATCTAATTTTCTATTAAGAATTTTGGCATATTTTGTGTTCTTGCCTTGTTTGTGTAATGAATAGGAATGTTAAAATTAGATTAATCAATTAACTGAATAGTCAATGGAATTTCCATTGACTATTTGATTAGTCAATAAGGGCACTTCTGCTTTGAAATGAAGCAAGAGCCCACCCAGCTGTTGCTTCATTCAAAGGCGGAAGTGCAGCAGAGCGACTGAAATGTTGCATGGAGCCTGGGGCCAGCGGGGAACTTAGAGTTGCTGGCCCCAAGTTCCATGTGGTGCTTCTGCTTTGAAACGCCAGGAGGAGACCGGGGCCAGCGGGGTACCCTGAGTCTCCCGCTGGCCCAGGCTCCATGCAGCACTTCTGCTTTGAAATGTACAAGAGCCCCAGTGGGGACTCTTGTGCATTTCAAAGATTGAAACGCTATGTGGAGCCCAGGGCCAGCAGGAGTCCCCTGCTAACCCCGGGCTCCATGCAGTGCTTCTGCTTTTAAATGTACAAGAGTCCCAGTACGGACACTTGTACATTTCAAAGGTGGAATGCTGCTGCGCCCTTGCCCCCTCCCATGAAGCTGGGGGAAAATGGCTTTTAACCCGGCTCCCCCCAGCACTCCTCCTTTTCCCCCTCCCTTGCTGCCTCTTTCTGATAGAGGTAGAAAGGGGTGGGGGGGAGCAACTAGTTGACTAGTCAATTAGTCACTTACATCCCTAGTAGTGAACTGATTCAAAAATGTCATGCTAATCCTGCAAGATGTTCCTAATTTCAACCTCTACATGAACTGCACAACTTGCAGGATGATAACCTAACTTAAAAGCAGAAGAGCAGATAGACAACTAGTCCCATCCCACTGTATCTCCTGACAGGCACAAATTTCAAGAGCAATATTGTGATGTCCCTACCTACTTGATTCACAGATCACAGCACAAAAGATGTGGTCCTTGAATGACCTACTTACAGGATAATTTCTACAAAGCAAGGAGACAGGAAAACCCTTGCAGAGCTTGACCATTCTGTAATAGGTTAAAAAATAGATTAAGAACTCTTTCTTAAAAAAAAAACACCCTAAAAAAAACAATGAATGGTCCTGTGGCACCTTAGAAACTAACCAAAATACACAGATAGTATCATGAGCTTTTGTGGGCACAACCCACTAAAAACAATTTTAGTTACAAACTAACATTGCTACCCCTCTGAGACTTCTCTTCAGACTGTTAGGCTTCCATGAAAAGATGCTAATCTTAAAGACATTTACAATTGTCAAGATAAAATTCACTCTTAGTTATAGTTGTGACACTTCAAAAGACTGATGGCAAACTAGATATATGAAACCCTATTAATGGCCTTGATCTAGGAAAAAAAAAGGCTGGCATATAGAATACTTTTTACTTGAAAAGTGAGCAAATCTTCTGATCTGTAGTCATTCAGAGTCAATAAATACGTAATCACAAAATGCTTTTTTTAAACAAAGTAACTTTTTACTGTAAAAGCAAACTTCAAAGAATAAAAAACACTAAGCATTCTAGTGAAATGTTGTGAAAATAATAGTAACGGTATGCTTGGAACCTGCATACCAAAGTTTAAAGATGAGTGTGAATTCTACCAGCCAATTTACAATCTGGTCTTCATTTAAATGCTCCTACTGCATGTCATTTTTGTACCTGTACTGATCATCATCCAGTAGAGGTTTCTGAGCAGCCAAATATCTCCTGATAGTATCTTCCAATTTTGGAACAGGTAATCTAAAAGTGCAGAATTTTTACAAAAAACTATTAAATATACACAAAATATATGTTACAAATAGTAGAAAAGCAATGAGCACATTAAAATCAATAAAAATGTGTGGCAGTGCACCCATGAAATATGATTTGTGAGTAATAAAAACCTCAACTGGGAGGAAATACTGTTCTGACAGCAAACATGGGGGAATCCTGGTATTAGTGGAGTTGGAAAAAGAGAAGTAAAATAATGGAGACAGAAACTGAAAGGAGGGTGGAAATATCCAAGAGCTGGATTTATGTATTACACACATAATTTTTTTAAATGATGAAGCTATAATCCTAAACAATTCTGTAACTACAAAAAGTATTTGAGATTTTCGCTGATGGCCAATTATTTAGTAAGTTTTTGTTCTTTTTGTACTGTATCTAGCATGATGAGTTTCCTAGTCCAAGATTAGGGCTCCTTGATTCTACAGTAATACAAACAATAGGGGTATGTCTAGATTACATGTCTCTGTCGACGGAGCCATGTAAACTAGTTTACCCGGCATAGGCAAAGAAGCGGGGATTTAAATAATCCCCACTTCATTAAAATAAAACATGGCCGCTGTGCTGTGCCGACGATCAGCTGATCCAGCACAGTGCGGCAGTCTAGATGCAAATCTGTCAGCTGGGGAAACCTTTGCAGACTGATCCCTTATGCCTTGTGAAACGGGGTTTACAGGATCGGTCAGCAAAGGCTTCCCCAGATGACAGATCCACATCTAGACTGCCGCGCTGTGCCGGATCAGCTGATCATTGGCACAGTGTGGCAGCCATGTTTATTTTAATGAAGCGGGGATTATTTAAATCCCCGCTTCTTTGCCTATGCCGGGTAAACTAGTTTACATGGCTCCATCGACGGAGCCATGTAGTCTAGACGTACCCTAGCATCACTGTAACTCCAATCAAACACAATTTTATAAAAAGCAAGAATTAAGTTTTAAACTGAAAACCTATACTTGTTCCTGAGGAGAACACCACATCTTATGAACGGTTGCCCAATCCCAATTTCATTTAGGTAACCATTACATAGTTGATTTTTTACTTATCTGGTAGAATCTCCAATGTCTAAACTATATTTTTACTTTATTTCATGACTAGTGCTTGTGATTAGGCAATTACATTTTGCAGTAATGAGACCCTGAAACTTCGTACACTACTGAGCAAGTCCTATTATGGTTTGTGGAGAGGCCAGAGTTTTTCTGCAAACACAATGGCTATGTCTACCCTGGTGCGATCTTGCGCCAGAGCTATGCAAACGAGGCTAAGCGTGGAATATCGCGGAGCCTCATTTGCATATCTAATGAGCTGCCATTTTGTGGAAGAGGCTCTTGTGCAAGAACGAGCTACACTGCCCCTTCTTGAGCAAGAAAAACCCTCTTGCGCAATACCGTTATTCCTGAAAAAATCAGTGTAACAGCATTGCGCAAGAGGGTTTTTCTTGCGCAAGAAGGGGCAGTGTAGACAGCTTCTTCTTGCACAAGAGCCTCGTCCACAAAATGGCGGCTCATAAGATATGCAAATCAGGCTTGGCGATATTCCACGCTTAGCCTCATTTGCATAGCTCTGCAGTGTAGACATAGCCAATATGCAATGGAGCTTATGGCATTCCACTCTGCAGATGCTGTTAAGTCAGGGGCTCCAAAGAATTTAACCAGAGAATTGTAACAGGTTAAGGATGGTTATTATCTGCAAAACCAGATTAAAGTAGTTCAGGACTCTTAAAATACCCCCTGCACAGGATGCCTTTTTACCCAGCCTCAGCATGGTAGAAATGTCACCTGCACCATGGTATTATCCCTGCTTGTGGGTAGGGGGGAGGGGGTCTGGTAGTGCGGCCACCTAAACATGAGATTGGTAGGTGGACTGACAGATGGCCCATCGTTCCAGTTGGGCAGGCTGGGACTCCCACCAGTGTTCCCTGTAAGGTGTGTACTTGTGCAGTTGCTCTGGTGAGATTCAATTGCCCTCCAGCTGATCACTAGTCAGCAGCAGATTTAGGGCAGGGTGAGCGGGGCAGCTGCCCCGCGCTTCCTGAGGCCCCACGCATGCACCATGTCAAAGGGGGGGGGTTGCAAAATTTCACTGCTCTGGGCCCTGCAGCACTCTCAGCCGCCCCTGACTAGAGTTCCCATTGCTAGGTTTTGTGGAGCACATTCACATGTACCTTGGTGCACCTAAAAATCTAATTCGCACATAGATGGAAAAATCTGCACAAGGATGGAAAAGATTAGAGGGGACACTGACTCCCATTGACCTGCTTGGGGACCCTCTGAAACCTGCCCTGGCCCGTGGCCGAGCACCAGGGCTCTACAGGAGGGTGAAGGGGCGGGGTGTGTGAGAGCTGTGTGGGGAGGCCCGGCTATCGGAGCTGGGGCAGGAAATCTTCAGGCTGGGTGCCGGGAGAAGCCGCCGAGTGTGCCCGAGAGTTGCAGCAGCCTCTCCCCTCCGTTTCGGCTGGCCGCGGGCCGGGCTCCCCGCCGTGCCCCGGGGCAGCACCTGGGCAGGCTGTTCTGGAAGTGCATGGTGGGGATCGTGCTCCTGTGCACGAAGAGATGGTCCGTATCCAGCTCCGAGATGATGCCCTCGGTCAGCCCCACGGTCCGCCAGTACCCGCGGCGCCCAACGGGCCACAGCCGCCTCAGCAGGACGCCACCGCACGCGGGCCAGGGACGGATCATGTTTCGCTGCAGCCCCAACGGCAACAACCCCCAAGCGACCGCTCGTGCCAGGCTAGCAGCGAAAGGAGGCGGTTGAACTAGTAAGCGGCGCGCCTGCGCGAAATAGGCACCCTAGTGCGCCTGCGCGGCGGTGGCCAGTAACCTGAACAGCCAGAACAAAGGGCGGGAAAGCGCGAGAAGAGG